CCATATGGGCTGAACAGCTGGACAGTACATGATATTAACTGGGGGAAAGATTCAAACGTAACAATTCAGTAGCTGCTTTCATCAGAGATCTTCATGTGAGCATGGCAGTGTCAAATTAAAATGGCTGCAAACAGTTTATTCTTTAGAACCTAAGCAATATACTGTCGTAACATACCTCAGACATATTTGATCTTCACTCCACCCGAGTGCTCAGCTTGCATTAGGCTGCTAGTGCAAATGGCAACAACACGCTACACGAACATCGTTAAGCAAAACAACAAAAAAGCTAGTTTCAGTTTTCCTGCTCCTGTTTTAGTTTGTGATTAGCACCATATATTAGCAATACATTGCACTGACACTGAATCCTTTGAACAGTGCATTACAGGCATGTTTTAATCCCCTTCTTTCTTTTCTTAAGTCTCACATTTTCAGGAGGAGTCGACGACGAGCACCACATGAGGTACCTTTTTGTTTTTCTTTCAGTAAACAGCATCATGTTTTCATTCTTCCATAACCAGACAAACCCTCCTCATCATAGTCATCCCATTATTCAGCCTCATTTACCACATTAGCATAGTATACATTACTACAGCTGACTCATCAACATGTTACAACATTTGGTTAAGATTTTTACACAGCAGGTTGCTGTGAACATGAACACAGAGTGTTTCTGACCAGGATGCTGCTGGCCTACATCCTAAATATTCTTGGTTTTACCTCTGGGGTCTGGGTGAGAAGGACGTGTGATAGTAGAAGCTAACCGTACCTGCCTTGCTCTGCAGAAGGAAGAGTGAAGCTCTGGTGCATTTATATGCACATAATCTGATTGTAGTCAATAACCAGACTAAGAGGATGGTGTGTGGGTTGCTTGTTGTAGCGCTCCATTAATTTACATGTTTCCATGCTACAGAGCAAAATGTGACTAATGCCTGAAGACCCCAGCCCCCCCACCCCCCTTCACATTATGCTTCACAGATTCCCTCCAGTATTTACCATTAAAATAAATTTCTTTCGCGATGCTAATGTGGTATAACTTGGTGCAGTTTAGGGCTGTGACACTGGTGGGCAGGATCCTGTGGGACAAATTCACCACTGGTGTCAGTGGGTTACATATTACATTTATCTTCTTTTAGGACATCACTGGATGGTGAATAAACATGTTATGTGGGTAAAACATGCCATTAAAATCGGAATGTTAAGACTTTGACAAATTTCTCGTTTTATTTACAACAAACCAAAAACAGGGCACTGAGCAGTGCACGGTGATGTCAAAATAAATATCAGCTGCCTTCACAACAATCACATAGGGCTGTTTTAACACATAACCTGTTTGTTTTTCCATTAAGAAGGAAGTACTGTAGCAGAACTTGCATGTGACATTTAACAGCTGAATTGCTACAGTTGGATAATTTATGTAGACGTTAAATGTCGTTCAGCCATGTCGCTAGGTTTTCTCATGCTCACTGCATCTTCATGCATCACAACTAGTGTTGCATTTCATCTTAATACTTATTTCATACTTAGCTTTGACATGTGCTTCGCATTATTTGCATTTCTGCCCTGGTGACGTTATTTGATTGTTGCTGTGTGTGAAAATGTCGCTACAAACAGCAGAGTTGTCGTTTTAAGTCGTCCAAATACTTCCTGTTAAGAGCTTTTCTTTCTGTATTAGCACCATGTTGATTAGAGAGAACTGAGGGGGGGGAAACCTAAGTAGTGCTTTGCTGGTGGTGACTCTTGATGCCTTTAGGGGATGTAGAAGTCCAGCTGTAGCCTGTTCCCCCCTCCTACTGGGAGTTTAGGCTGAGCCACAGGCGGTGCTCCAGAAAATTGCTGGGATTCAGTTCCTGGTTGAAGGACACTTGAGAGGGTAACCTGGGGTCGAAGTGTACAGTTATTATTACAGGGTCGTTTGTAAGACCACAGGCCCAGCTGCTCCCTGCTGAGTGTGGAGTCACTGCTGGAATTACTTCTTGTACAAACTGTCCTTACCAATTACTTCATCAAATGTAATAATCATGAGGCTCATAGTCCAAGCTGAGCTCAGATTTATAGCGCTGTGTACTGAGCTTTACAGTTTTTAGGTGGGAAAAGGTCATTCTCTTGTTGTCTGCTTCATGATTTTATTAATCTTTGCATTAGTTTCATTTGGTGGAGAGAAGTGTTGGTCTGCCTCATGCTGGTTTCAGTATTTACTAAAGTTGGGATCCTTGTTTACTGGAAGTCATGTTGAAGCTGATGCGCTGGCAGGGCTCTACAATCTGCACTATTAGTTTATCACACATCAGAAGGGTATGCTGATTATTATTTTTCTTCTATACTTAATAATCTGTTTGTAATAGTCTTTTATGCTTCCACGCCGGCGATCAGTGTGTTTCTGGAGGCATTATGTTTTCAAGTTATCCATCTGTTTGTACATCGGGTCCATTCTCAAGATATCTCAGGAACGCCTTAAGGAAATTTGAACAAATTAGGCACAAACGTCCACTTGGACGCAGGTTGAACTGATCAGAATATGGTGATCATAGGTCACGGTGGCCTCACGTCTGTCCCGTTCCCATGAATTTGACTGGTTGATGGAGGCCTACAACCACAAAGTTGCAGTTCTAGTATTATTATTATTATTAATTATTGTAATTGAATGATACCCTGTGTAGCCGTAGAATTACTGTTCAGATGTTGCTGCATGTTAAATGAGAAGTATATCTTTTTCTGCTTCATGGTGCTGAAACATTGCTGAATACAAAGTAGATGCTTCCAAACTTCTTGTGAATTCTTGTTTTAAATGTAGATTGTATCATCAAATCAATGTAGTAATTTACATTTGATTGCTACCTCTTAAATGGAGCGCTCGTATTTCATCCAGGCAGGGAGTTGCTAGTAAAGTGGGTTCTTATCTGATGGCTCTGACATCTGCAGGCAGTGACCCAAAGGTGGTCCGGCAACTGATCTCATCAGCTGTGCAGACTCCTGTTTTTCTCAGAGATAATGGAGTGTTGGCAGGCTGGAACGTGTAAACTGGCACAGTGTGAACAAGCAAACTGCTTCACCTCTTACTCCATGTCTCTTACTGTTCTTCTTGCACACACACACGCACACACACGCACACTTCACATTGTACTTGATTCACCTTTTTTTATTTAAATCTCTGCAGATGACTACATCTGTACCTCTCCCTCTCCAATCCTTCTTTCAGCAGGTTATTTTTAAAATCTTTCACTGAGTCAATAATGACTCTGCATGTTTTGACCTTTTTTGTTGCTTTTCAAAGTGGATTATTTTTATAGAGTCCACCACTCCCACTCCTCTGCCCGGCGCACCTCCCTCTCAGGTCGGCCTCGTCCCCAGCAGCTTCTTCTGAGTCAGAGCTACATATACTATAGAGTACAAACGTACGCCCAGGGATTTTAAACTGATGCAGGAATATACTGACAAATCACATGTTGCTCAACAGTTGGTTTTATTACGTTTATTTTATGACTTCATACATTTTTGCCACTTGTTCTCCAACTACTGGGAGGTCAGTTTGTCCCTGGGCTTGGATGCTGCTGACTCCCACTGTGGGCCTGTGTAAGATGCAGAGATGTGAACACCTCAGCCAGCACGTTGGCTGTTTGTTAATCTAGCAATGTAGTCATGATTCCTCTCTGGCTTAACAAAGACAGATGTGCTTTGAACACACAAAGCTGGCAGCCACACTGCAGAACAAGGAATCCAGGTTATTACATCGGTGGGAGGCTGCTACCACCAAGGTCAAATGGTCTATGAACAACTGAAAAGAATGGTATTTCTTGATTCTGAATTTTGATCAGACCCAGGAATCGGTAGCAAACCAGGAAGCCAAGGCACAGGTACCAAAGATTTAATCACATTAATTGTCACATTAATCATATCATGTCTAGAAATAGTTCACTGGTCAACATCGTCACTTTTGGGATATTTTGTTTAAAGTGGAGAATTAATCCAGTTTGAACTGAGGCTGCCCAACCACCTCATATTCAGGCCTTCAAAGTAGAGTTTTACTGGAAAGACAACTGTCAAATTCAGATTGAAGCTCAAAATGAAATCTTGCAACTTGGCAAATGATCCTTAGGATTTCACAATGGCTGGAAATGAAATAATGTTTGTTTCTTTAATAGTCTTTTATAGGTGGAATGACACTTTAGCAGAGCAGTTTACCAAAAACACCAGTGAGTTTCAACTTGTAAGCTGAAGGTTTGTCTAATCAGAGCGATTGTTCAAGGGGAAATTTACAACTTTACCATGTGTATGCAGTCATTCTCCATGGAGCCGTCTTCCATTCATGTCATTTAAGACATATCTCAGACGAATCAGGGAGAAAAATGTCAGATGCTTCACATGATGGAAAAATACCTGGCATGCCTTGGGCAAAAAGGAAAATGAAATTTAACTGTTAAAGCAGATTGACTTTTTCCCTGAAAGGCAAAGCTGTATTGACCAGGAACTAGAGAAAATGCCATTTGTTTTCTTTAGCCTTAATGAAAGGTTTTCTACACACAGCTGACAATAGTGCTCAACACTGACGTCAGAAAGGGTAAACTGAAGATTAATGGGATGTTTGAGAGACACCTAGACGATGTGTTTTGACTGGCAGCAGTTGAGCTTGTCAACTCTTTGTGTCCATCGGGCAGATCATCGTAAAATGAATCTTGATTTCTGTGGTTGAAAATTACTCAGGCTTTTACAATGGTAAAAGTGGAATTGAACGCACAGTGAGGCCGGTGCACAGAGTGTCTGAATGGTTTCCTCCTGATGTCTGTCTTGTATTAAATGGTTGGTTCCATCTCGTCCAAACCATCATTATGAAATCGTTGTGGACGTTCCTGACGCCTTGCCTCTTTCTAACCTCGCTGCTCTTCAGACTCTTACTAATCCTCTGGTACAGATGACTCAGTACACACCCAGTGCTTTAACACTTGGTTTATGTTTGCGTGTCTTCATATTACATGTTTCTCTTTCTCTCCTGTGTGTGTTGATAGGAAGAGGTGGAGGCAGAGAACAGAAGGAACACAAGAACCAAGGTGACGCCAAAACTGACCCCACACCAAGAGGAGGTGACAACCAGACACACGTGCCTAACACAAAAACTCACAGACATGGAGACACATGCATAACCATGAACATGTGCTCTGATGAGCTTATACATATATTAAATAAATCATTTGTAGTTAAAGGCAGCAAAGCCAGTGCTTGGTGTGTACTGGAGAATCACACTGTACATTCCCCATTCACATCAGTGAGGCCAGGCTAATAAGTGAAATGCCTCTCTGTATGATGCAGCGGTTTTCAAAATGCTTGTACTGTAAGCAACACGGGGCCTTTTTCTATACAGTATATGAAGTGTTCATGCTGACAGACTGACCACATATCCCTGATCTGCTTAGACTTCTGGCCCCGCGGGTCGCCATGACTCCCAGAGCAGCATCCGCAGCAGAAAGGAAGGAACGCTGCAGAAGATCGGAGACTTCCTGCAGAGCTCCCCCACGCTGCTTGGCACCAAAGGTTAGTGGACCACTGTGTCACTGTAGGGGCCCTGTTGAAGAGATTTATGAGTGTGAAGAGCAGAGGCTGAATTTTTCTTTTTTTACCTCCAACTAATGATTTAAACATGATGAAGCAGCAAAGTGTTAATAATGCAGTGATGGAGGGTTGATAGTTATTAATCAGTGTTAGTGACACCACGAAAACTCGAGCTGTTTCCTGAATAGCACAAAAGCGATCTTTATAGAACATTTGGAATCGGTCGACAGTAAAAATATCCCTTAGTAGCTTTTCAGGGCCACAAAGTGGTGTATTTTAAAACCAACAGACGACCAATGACGTGACATTAAAGCAGGTGCCCCGTCTGCCATCCTGCTGAGCTGCTGCATGTTATCTAAGGGCATCCTGGACGATAAGACCAAAGCGAGCACTGCAGTAAGCACGCACGTTAATGATCAAAGCGTGCATCAGTAATTGCTTTCTACAGAAGCCGCTGTATCGATGCCATATTTTTGACATAATAAAAGTAAGTTTTAGGGATATTTAATAGCCAAGGTTATTAGCTGGGGCTTTTGCTAACTGATCTGCCTATGCAGTCTGTCTTCACTGCATTCTGAAGGGACATACTCATCCACCTCCAGCCATTTACTGATAGAAGCCAGGAGGCAATCATGTGGCCCAGATGGGTTTTTAGAAAAAAGTGAGGGAGTTTAGTGCACTAATGACAGTGTAGAGGAGAAAGTTAAGATGGGGAATATACTGAAATAAACCAGGGTCACCTCTGCGTTTTATCCTCGGTGACCGACAGTTTTGCTCGGTCAGTTAACTGTTGCTCCAGGGTTCCAGCATGCAGTGCTGCTCATCACCTGATGGTCCATTCATCTCTCCCTGCTGCTTGCTGTTCCCTCCTCCTGTCCCTTGATACTTCATTCACTTGTTTTAGCTTCTCCTTCCTCTTCCCTGCCCTCTTCTTTCTTAATCTTTTCCCTTCTCCCCTGGTTGATTTACAAGTTCATAGATAAATGACATTGATTAAAAGGATAAAACTGACATTTTCTTTAGTTGTAGCAATTCTCCTGAAAATACCCGAACCAACAGTGACTGTTTATTATCTAGTAGAGTATTATCTGAGTTCCAAAGCCTGACTGTTGTAAACCAGTGATGGCCTCACTGGTTTACAACAGTCAGATTTACTGTTGAAATCATTTATTCACTGTAAAATGGACACAGAGCACAACATTGAGCAGTCAGTTAACAGATCTATCTGAAGCATCTGTTCAGCATGTTCTTCTGTCTCCACCTCTGCAGCCAAGAAGGTGATGAGCCTGGTGAGTGGTCGGGGTGATGCAGACTCCGCAGCCTCCTCTTCATCCTTCAGTCTGAGAGCCAAGAAGAACAAAAGGAAACTCTACAGGCCTGAAATTTCCTCCCCCATGGACATGCCCTCACACCCAGTAAGTCTGGCACACACTTATTATAGCTGCACCAAAAGTAAGTTAAAATAGTGCCAGTCTATTTAGGCAACGTTCTGTAAACCAGTGAGGCCATCACTGGGTAAAACTGTCAGGCTTTGTAACTCAGATAATAAAAGTTCTTATGTGGCATTTGTTTTTAGGCATTAACCTTTTGGAGGTGACACTTGTTTTGCCATATGGGGGAACTGTAGAGAAAATGTCATATTCCTTTAAAAAAAGTATTAATCTGGTACAAAAGGAGGATTTAGTTTGTACTATCGAACACATTCAAAAGATGCCAAGAACCGAGTAGTCCCAGTCAAGAATGGCCAACAGGCTCACCAAGCCATTTTTCATAAAAATGAGGCAATAAGACATTTAGAAATATGAATACAATAAAATAAATGACCTGTATATAATGCCTGAAATGCTTTAATAAGAAGTCAGACTAAAGAGGTTCAAGTGTAATTCCATACAGGTGGAAACTTTCAAGTTAACGTCCCATTCAGTGCAGGAGCTGATGTTATTGATGCTGATCCTCTAAAATGCCACAGCAGCAGGTAGTATTTTAGTTGGGATGAGGTGAAATCACTAGAGAGGGAGAGAGAGGGATCAGTTGTGTAGCCTGACAGTTAAAGTGTGTAATAAGTGGTTTATAGCACTTGAGTGCAGTCGTAGGCAGCGCTAATTGATTATTAATGCATTAAATCTGTGAAGGCTACTGTATAAACATGCTGAATGACATCATAGTAAGTCAGATGGAATGAAATGTTTATAGTAAATAATTGCTGACCACTTGTGCATTAATAAACACTTTAAAATGACCTTACAGCTCCAACCCCAGTGTGTGCCATTTAAATGTTTACTGGCTATGAATAGTGTTGGTGTTACCCACAGTGCCTGTTGGTAGCCAGGCCCCATTCAGCATAGTGGATGTTTGACGTGTCAAACAGGACCGTCCTCGGGCCGGTCCTAGACAGAGACAGGAGACTAGTGAGTGCTAAAGCAGCAGGTAGTAGTCTGAAGCCTTACTGTCAAAGTACCAGTGCAGCATAGCTGTTCATCCAACAGAAGTGGCAAACGTCTGTAGCTGCTCTGTGCACGCTGACTCTACATCACAGCTAAAGTAGGACCTCTTTAAATATGTTGTTTAGAAGAGGTTTAACTGTAAAGGGTCAGTTCACACAGAGTATTACACTTGTTTATGCAGTTATTCCATTTTAAAGGCATGAACCAGTGACTTAATAAGCACTTGGATCTGGTCAGTATTGTCTTCTGAAATGACAAGCCTGCAGTTATATGCACTCATTTCTAACATGCTGCTCTGTTGTAGATCATCAGCAGAGAGCCAGAGGAGAAAGAGCGCGACCAACAGATCTTGAAGCGGCGCCTGCGCTCCAGGATCATTAAATAATTTATCTTCATACAGTGCTGTACACAGTGCTTTGTTGTTTAATGAAGGGAGCATGTGGCTGCTTACAAATCCAGCATATCTTTCTATGTGACAAGGGCTGGAAAGCAAGTCGGTTTATTTGATCACACATTCTCAGTATTTAACTGTTCACATAGTCACTAATATACAACTGGTTACTTGGCAAGGTGGCAGTTTAAGGAACCAACATTTTGGGAAGTACATCCAGTTGCTTTCCTGCCAAGAGTTACATAAAGATAAGTACTGTATCACTCATGTCTTTGTGTGAAGGCTATTAGGTTGGTATAAGACGGGCTGAGCCAGGCTCGCGGCCTCATGTTAAGCTAATCAAATAGCCTCCTGCCTTGTCTTCTGTACTTAATGCAAAGACAGTGTTAACCTTGTCAGACTTGGAGCTTTTCCTTTAAAATGCTGATCACTACTTTAATCAACTTATGGTTTTTATAAAATATCTGGCTTTTCTTGTATTATGTCAGTGTTTACCACCCGATTAATGCCAGACCTGCTGCATAATACCATTGGATAAGCAGCAGTCTGAGCACCTTTCTTGACAGAATGTTTCACAGACAGAAGAGGCTGACTTTATTTTGATGTGCAATTTTCATCCTGAAATTTCTGGGATGTTTTGGAGTTTGTTTTAAATTAGTATTGTTTGTGAAAAGCTGCAGACCACTACACCTTACTGTTTAATTTTCTGAAAGTGGTGCCCACCTAGCTGCTGATAGGGTTGAAAATGTCTCATTGTTCTGAACTGCTTAGTATTTTCATATAGTCAGATATCAAATGTCCTGTATTATGTAGTTTTTCCAGGCATAGACATGAACACTAAACTCCTGCTGCACTTTATCTCTAAGAATAAAAGAGGAAGAACAACATGTCAAAAGGTTTTGTACACAGAAAATAAATCTAGCAGTGGTTCTACTACTTGTCACTAAGACACCTTCACTACTAGTTCAGCTCATTCTGTTTCCGATGAAGGATTGCTCAGTATTTCTCTTTTGTAAAATACATTAAAGAACACATTGCATGCTTTTCCTTGTTTTCTGATATATCTACAAGTTTATTTGGGATTTACCGACCTTGGAGCTGCTTGAAAGGGAGTGATACTTCCACTAGTCGGTGGAACTCAACGGTAAGTTTAAAAAAACACGTCTGCTAATGCCATGTTTCTGTAATGTTAAAGAGAACTATGTTAAGGCTGGAGAAGCTACTATGTCAGCATTATGCCAGTTAAAATATGGGGTTTCTCAACTACCTGTTTAGAGTGTTACACATCTCTTTACATCGGTACATATATCACTGTTCATCTATAGAGGAGACATTAATATTAATTAATGCTGTCACGGTTGGTTGTGCTGTCCACTTACAACAGCACCGGCAGCAGGATATTATTGTTCATGATTAACTATTAGCAGTTTCATTCCATACTTAGTATTTGGTTGACATACAGGTTATATATGCAGGTTACTGTAAGCCCTGTTAACCCTAATCACCCAGCTAGTGTAGAAAAACTAGGTGGCTCTATTGGTTACCTGCAAAATCAGACTTGAATCAGTTTTGATGGTTGCAATTAATGACACTGTAGAGGTGGGAACAAGCAGCTTGAAAGCTCTTGCTGGCAGCGAGCCCTTCAGGTGGCTCGTAGCAGAGGCTGGCTGTTGCCAAGCTGCCATGTGTGGGCACAAATAATGAAAATATCTTTTAGTAAAGAAGTCATTTACTTATCCTTGACATTTGTTCAAGAACAGCTACTAAACAAAGAGTCAGACATGTTCATGTTCTTTATAAAGAACTGTTGACCTGAAAGGTCACCATCCTAAACCACAGGGGGGGAAACGTAATATTTTGTCCTCCCACAGTGTAGACTCCTTTTGTGTGGAGCTGCTGGGGAAGTGGCTGGGCCCGGGCCCATGGGAAGACATTCATAGTGCTGTATAATGCAAAAAATAAGAAAGGAACTTAAAGACTTCAACCCCTGGCCACCGTCAAACCTCAAAAAAAAAAAAAAAAATCAAAAACACGAAGGGATATGAGGGGACAGAGTTCCTGAAGCTATTTGATGGTCTGGCACACGTCTAATGGCGCATACTGGCTCCTTCAGTCACGAGCAAGGGCATATGTGTCCAGTCTGGTTTTCTGAGGTTTATCTTGTTGGCAAACTGCATTGAGGTACAGGTGCTCTCCAGGATCCAGTGACATCACTGCTGGGTGGTAACACGACACACTTCAGACCACGGCCATGCTGGGGACAGGCAGACTACACCAAACACTTCAGCAATCTCATTTTAAGGTTTGTGTACGTGGCGATATTTTTATCTGATGGTTGAATACAAGGTCACAAGGTAAAAATATCAGGCTCCCTCTGGGACCTGGACATTCTGCACAGCAGTCGCAGTGTCAACACAGACCCACTGAGCAACATGGCTGCTCTGAGGACTTGCCACCTGCAAGACTTAAAAAAAAAAGTTGATTAGACAAAAACACCTTTTCATTACTGACTTGGCAGTACGCTGCAGCAGCGTGCAGACATCATGCTGCAGATATGAATTTATTTCCACCTGAGCCTGACTGAAATGGATCCAAACTAAATATGAACTGAAATGCTCCTCATGGGTTGTTCGAGGTGCAGTAGTAAATTACAAAGACATGAAGCTTATATCATCTGAATCAGAAAGTGCTGTTCCCTTTTTACTGCTGACCCACTTTCCTCCCGTTTCCATGTGCACAACACAAATATCTAAGAAAAAAATTGGTTATTTCTTCTACCTGTAGACTTTCCTTCATGTCTTTAATGACATTTTGTATTCAAGTTAAGGCGCTTTGTTCTCATGCTGCCCTCACTCACCGTGCAGCTGCTCGTTGGTGTGGGCTGTAATCAGCTCTGTGTCGGAGTAAGCAAATTATTTTTATTACTGCCTGAACTGTTGCCCTCTTCACTTTCCAGGAACATGCCCTGAGTTGTTACATGCACAGTCTGGACACGTCACACTCTTCGCTCATGCTGGTTGAGTTGAGCATTTACTGGAAGTTTATCTGGATAAGTGTCAGCTACAGTTGATGTCCTACATATTTATTCAGTGATAAATGTGAGGGTGGGGGTCGCGGCTAGTTGTGAAAGCGATGGGAAGTGTTGCTTGCAGTCCAAGCGTGTGTGCAGCAGTGTCTTTTTCATATCTGCTGCTGCTGACGTCAGGCCATTAGTCCGAAACACTGACAGTGTTACTACATCACGCTGTTCTGCCCAGCAGCGTGGCGGATTATCTCTGGTGCAGAGTTTTCTGAAAAGAGAGGGGTCCAAGCAGCAGGCTCTAGGTGAGGGTCAGGAATCCAACTCTTTTCCCCTTCTCATTCTTTTCTAAGTTTGTGTCTGGGTCCTCTGCACCGTTATCTTCAGTTCAGCTTGGCAGAACAATCAGCATGCTGAGGGTCACATTTCTAAAAACAAATACTGTGGAAATGGTAGAAAACTTGAATTTAATAGACCAAGATATGTTTTTTTTAATGGAAATCATGTAGACAGCACTTTCTCAAACCTACAATAAAGCACTGTGTGAACACAAGCTAATTGTGCTGTATTTGTAGAAAAATCCTGAATGTGCAGACACAAGCAGAAAGGGATGAAGAGACGAGGGCACCTGTGTTATGTAAAGATGCAAGCCACAACATTTCTACGGTGCACTGACAGTTTGTGAACACTCCCACAGCTCACTGAAGTGGGAACATGGCTGACTGTTGATGACATCACCTACCAGGGACGGTGTGAAGCCTGGACAGAAAATCCAAATGCAGCAGAAAGCCTGAAAGGAGGGGAGCTGGAACCAGCGAGCGGCGAGCGCGTCTGACCAACAGGCTGACAAGAGAAAAAACAACGTGGTAAGGCGTTAGGATTTGGACACAGCGACTGTACATTACTCATACAGCAGGTCCACACCATTCAGAAATTTTGTTCTTACCCAAGAAAAAATTCTAAGCACAAAAAACACATCACAGTTTCTCAAATAATTTTTCATGCCATATGAGAACAAATCTGTTCATAAGAGTGGATCGGTGTGGAAATTACGATGTGATAAACAGAAAACTACAGTCAAACTGTACAAACAAAACCACACATCTCATACTGAGAGTTCAGACAGCATAGCTAGAGGAATGACAGATGATGGAGCAGGAAGTCGTCTGCCGGAGCAGGAGGAAGGTGTCACACTGCAGCTCTGGCCTGACACAGGAGAGCGATGACAGCAGGTTGAACTGTAAACAAGACATCAGAGACCTGATCATGGAAACTGTCAGACTGGAAAGCAGGGACTTATCTGGATGTGGTCTGCCTGATGGTTAAGCTATGATTATTAAGGTGTGTGTGTGTGGTTTTGCCGTCACATTAGGGCTGCCAAAAACCCTCCATGCGGCAGAGTGCAGATGTTGTCGCTTTGTGAGTGTCACAAAGATTTTAATCCAGAAACATCACTGAGAGGAAGCATCATCATCACCACACAACAGCAAGAGAGAGGCAGAATGACAGCTACAGAGGGTGAATGGGGAGGAAATACAAGCAAGATGGGGTGGAAAAATCCGGAAGATGAGGATGACAGAGCTTCGAGAACAAAGAATAAAAGAGACAAGAGGATGAGAGTGAGGAAGGACGGCAGCGAAGGTGAGGATGCAAATCAGGACACATCCATCTGCAACTGCAGCGTCTCTTAGCTCAGAGACTCTTTCAGAGAACGGAGAGAGAAGAAAAGCAGTCATGTGTTCTGTGAATGATAGAGAGGCTGCCGTGATGTGATTCTGGCAATCACTTCCCACACAGCTGGGCCCTTTGTGCTGCCTTCCTGCTCGCAGTCCACACACACAAACACACACGAGCATGAGTCCAGTTCGCTCAGCCTAGAGAGCTTTAGCTGTTGACAAAAATGGTGAATCTAAAAACCAAAGTACAAAGGCCAGTTGAGAGTTTTAGACTGAGGCGGCTTTCAGTGTCCAAGGCTAATCCAGGGTTTAAAACTTGAGGTCTGGTTGGTCGTAACTTTAAATCCAAATTAGGTAAATCCCAGCATTTGACAAATCTGATTTTATTCTAATTTCACTCATCAGCTTTGGAGATTTAGGAAAAGCTTTGAAAGAACAACACTGACTGGAGACAGAACACCTGCCTCCCACAACTTTCCAAAGGACATAATTATAACAGAAATGATCTTTAAAAAGCTGTCAAAGTTTCTAAACATCTGTGTAGCTGCAGCGGAGACCTGTAGAGACCACGGACCAACCTTTGGACACGTGCCTAACATGGGTCATTACTATCCTACCCAAGCTGTGATTTTCTCCCCCACCCCATTGGTTTGAAGCTGTGGTTCTGCTTTTGATTCGTCTCCCTGGTGGTTTGGGTCCAAAAGGAAAATGAGAAGGTGTTTTCTTCAGCCGCCACTACATGGTCGAGGGAGACTCGAGTTCCAGCTGAACACACATACAACTGTGCAGTTTGCTACAACAGCTGCAGCGATTTCAAGGAGACTACTTTCTTTTTGATATTAGAAACTGTAGGAGGCTTGTGTAGTCTCAGATCTAAGTCTGGCTGTGAGTAAACTCTCATCAGGACTGATGGTCATAAAGATACAGTACAAGGCGACAACCACAGAGGCAAATTAAAGCACAAGAAATGAACTGGCTAGAAAAATAGCAGCTCTTTGTTGGCTGGATTAGAGGAGACAGTCCTCTACTGTGTGAAGCTTTTCTGACCCACAACATGGTCATAATCTGAGACTTACTTGAGGGCACTGCTCTTAAACTCTGCAGTATGTACGTTTCAAATTCAAGGTCTGAGTTTAGACTTCTTTTGTTCTTAGATGAATCTTGTTTCTGCAGCCATGATGGGGCTTTAATGTTTCTGTTTGTCTAAGAATAAGTGGGTAGTTAACATGAGCAGTGGTAAATGACAGAAAAATCCAAGAAAAAGACATCATGTCGCCCACGCCAAAGCACAGAGTGCTGAGCACCGAGTATTAGGCCACAGGATAATTACCACTGTTCGATGTTCTATTGTAAAAGCTTGAAATAAACTCAGCAGGGTGAGTCATTCACGGCTTTCAGGCTCCTCCACTCCTCTCGTCCTGCTCAATCAAACTCATTTTATCCATCTTCAGCACATGTGGTTGGATTTGCAACTTGCTCCATATCCTGGACTTTTAATAAGAGTACCATTTAAATTGGAATGAAACTCAAATCGTTCAACTGAATGAGCTTTAAGTTCTGACAGTTCTCACCTCTTTTCTAAAGGCGACCAGTGTGTGTTCTTACAAGGAGGCAGTAGCTCTCCGCCGCACCGCGATAAGGGATTGACACTGCACAAAGGTTTTACAGTGTGTTTGATAGACGCCTGTGCCAAAGCAGATTTATTTATACTTTAGAAAACTGATGTGTTTTTACAGGTGACAAAGACACAAATGTGAAAAGAAAAGCACATCACACTAGCTCTGATGTGATCCAGATGTTTGAACTGTGGAAACAAACATTTCTTTGTTTAGTTATATTCTCCTTAGCCTTATCCTTATTTTAATTTTCCATATGTTTGTGTGCTCCTATAAAACATCTTTATTCCTTCACAGGAAAACAAACCTTAGTTTGACATTTGGGAAATGCGTCTATGTTTAGCCTTCTTGCTGAAAGTTAGATGAGAAGATTGTTCCACTTTGCAATAGAGCTTCACTAACCATTGTACTTCTAGCAGAGGCGTCACTGGTAATTCTGTAAATGATGCTGCTGAGTTTTAGAAGCATGAATGTGTTTTTTTTTCTACAGTGATAATGTTCCATTCATTTTTCTGATGTAAAAATGATGAAGCTTTTAGATGAATCATACAATAGATAATTAATGTGCCCATGGCCTATGCTTTTCCTTGTTTTTTGATTTATTTACAATGTTACAACGGTGAATTATCATCTGAGGCATGACCCAAAGCTAAAAAAGAAAAAGAAAAAGAGGTGTACGCTCTTCTAGTATTTCTATGCAGACAGCTGTTTATACAAGTCACACAAACTCTCACTCATTCTAACAAAATAAAGTGATGGTTTAAGGATCTCCTTGAATGGGCATAATCTCCAGGCAGGTGCACGTTCACGCGAGCGTGCCTAATGCTGTTGCAGTTCGTCCCGCCGTCCACTTTCATATTCATTACACATGTCAAGTAGGATCTGAGGTAATGTAACTGTCAAAAATGTAGCTTCCTGACTGGCAACAGGAAGTGTGCACATTCACTAACTAGCCTCTCGTTTTCAGGAGGAGGATCACCCTGTGATATCGGGTTTTATTTGCCGTTATGAGGGTGCCAAGCTAATCTAGAGGTGCCCAAGATTAAACATTAAATGGCTGGAAACAAGCAGGTCATAGAAAGATACCTTACATCCAAAATCAGCTCAACACGCTCGATTTCCAGTGCACTCTCTTTTGTTCTTGGCCTGAGAGCAAATAAAGAAAACTAAGAGCTTCTCATAGAAAAAGGTCTCATCCTGGTCCCTACTGATTCCCCCATTTGTCTCAGTCTCTGTGCATTGTACATGCATTTATCAGTTAGATTAAGTTAAATTAATAACAAGATTAACTCAATACTTAAAACTTGATTTTAACTTGGGGCCACTTCACAGCACGAACTGAACTGGGAGACCTCGGATCCCCTTGGGATCTGGGGCCCCGATAATCCTCAATCCTACTTTACTTACAGTCAGACATATTATACAAGATGCCCTCTGAACTTAGTAAAGTCTTGCAGGTAGCCTGCACCTGGATTTTTACTGTACAGACTGACACAGAACAGCTGACGACAGCACAGCGCAGGAAGCTTTTCAGTTCTTAATTTGATCCTCCTTATTCCAACACTGACCCCCAGGCAGCAGAAACCTACTTATTACTTTGATTTTGGACCACACTGACGTTCTGTCTGTTCATCAGCTGACAAAGGAGAACACGTGGAGGACCGTCAGTGTGGAGCCCATATGAACTGCAGGTAGTCAAATTCAGATGGACTGAACTGAGTCTAGGGCTTAAGGGCAGAAGACAAAGAGCATCACCGTCACTTTCCATTTTCCCCTTGGATTCATCTCCTGCTCTCTCTGAGCTGTTTTTCAAAAAGCCTCCCCATCACTCCCTTCAATATTCACCAGTAGTGCTCAGAGGAAGGTAGGTGTGTGTGTGCACATGTAGTTTATTTTCGGTGTGTGTAAGCTTTTACCAGTCTACCTGCACTTCAATGCAGCCACCTGAGGTCAGAAAACTGGGGGTAACATTTTTTGTTTCTACACTCTCAGAAATTGAGTTTTACTTCTTCTCTTTCTAATCAGGTAATTGGACAGAAAACAAAGTTATTATGCCACAGAAAATGAAAAGAGGCAGAACAAATTAAGTCCATCAAACTACACGACTGAGTAATGACTTCCAACATGTTCCTGTTATCTTAAGAGCTAATTAAAGGATTCAAATCAAAGTGAAATCATCTGAACCCCATCCCAGCTGATTAACAACTTTCCTCTAAAACACACCACAGTATTTCAGCTTCAAATTTCAGGCACCTATTTGTTTTTCATCTCAACATATTTTGGATGTTTGAATAGAAAATATAATGTGCATCCCACAGTCTCTAAGGTCTGATTACATGATCTTCATTTAGATAAAAATAAATCTAGTCGTGCACGTACAGTGTGTTACCTCAACAACCTGCATGCTGCTGGAATATTTTGCTGCTTGGAGTGTTCGTGACTCACTCCGCAGATGGATTAGTGGGTGACAGTGAATGACTGTAGACGTCCACGTTACAGGTAACTCTGAATATCAGTGACCTAAGAATTTAAGCCTCTGGAGTTTGTGTTC